TTTGAGAGGATAATTTCAACTAAGCATTTGAGTGATCAAATAATTTCTGCCAATTTAGAAAGCATGACGTTTTGCTCTTCCTGCTCAAAGAAAGGTAGGAAAAATATTTCAGAGGCACCTGTAGCTTGGCTTCTGTAAGTTCCTTTGCCTTCTGCGCTTGTGGGATAAGTGAGTGAAGTGCTTCAGACTCTGGTGTTTTCAATAGCAGCATACAATAAAATGATTGTCCACTTCTCCTCCTCCTCCTCTTCTTACGGATGGTCTGTGAAGAAGGGTCTGGTGAGGATTGGTAGAAACTTCTGTGAGTTCCAGCTATCTCCAAATCCTGTAAGATGTAGAACTTAGATTCTTGGGGATCTGGGATTGGATTCCTCACATAAAAAATAAGAGTTCACTGTGGTGCTTGGGATGTGTGGTGTTTTGGCTTTTGGTAGTTTGGGTGGGTTTTTTCCGGGCTTTTTTTCTGGGGTGGCTTTTGCTGGTTTTTTGATATATAAAAGCTTACCAGTAGGGCATACTAATTTGAGGAAAGAAATCTGTCTTTAGCTGTTTTAGCTAAAGTTTTAGCTTTGGGCAGGTGTTTTCCATTTTTAGTGTTCATAGAGAACACTTCACACTTCTCAGGGAAGGTGGAGTTTCTTCCAGGTATTATACACTGGTTTTGTGTTGAAAATGGGCAAAACTTGTCTACAGCAGGTAGAAGTCAAGTGGAACAGCTCTCACCTGGGCCTGCAAGCGTTAGTCTGTCTTTAATAGGGAAAGTTATTAGGATTACCCTCTTGCTTTCTCAGGAAGTAGCATGGCAGAGTCTATCTAACAGTTCCTTGTAGCTAGCAGGATCCTATCACAGAAGACTGAGTTAATTTGGAGAAAGGGATAAATAACTTACAACTGAGGGAATAGTACTGTTTTGGATGCACCTCCTGTGAAATAGCTTTCTGTAATAGATGTCGTACTTTTGAGAGAGAAAGGTAGAAGCTTTCTTTTTTCCTCTCTGCTCTGCCTTTGAGGTGCAGAGGTGTTACTGAATTTCCCTTTTGGCCTTTAAAGCCAATTTCAGATTCCCTGGAAAAAATACTTTTATTTTTCCATTCTGTGCCGTGGCCCACTGCTAATTACTGAAGTTCCAGTGATTTGAAAGTATGATTGCCAGCACATTGGAGATATGCCAAAATTAATTTTTTGAGGATTCACCCTTAGAAGAATTTTCCACCTATATACAAATCAACTCATGCCTTGATACAAGCTGTTTTTTGATAATTTATGATTGGTGTGGTGGAGTCAACCAATCCGTGGCACAGGAGTTATTCCCTTTATCCCAAGAACCGCCCATTTTTGTAGCGGTCCAGTCAGTTCATCTAGATTAACCACTAGGAAGCAATCTGACAGTTTTGTGCCCAGTTGTACTGGAGGAAGAAGATTGTATGGCAGAAAGGGCAATAGCAATTTAAGAGTGGTATGAGGAGGCAGTGCTGTGGTGGGTATCATGACCAAGATTTTTTTTTGCTCACTATTTTCAGGGTTATTCTCGTGTCCTTTGTCCTTCCCTCTGGTGAGTGCAGGGAAATGCAGAAAGCAGGGCTGAAAATGCAGTCATATATTTTATGCTCCTGCATGACTGATTTCAGCTAATGCTGAATTGGAAGGTCTGGCTACATCGAGGAAAAAAAATATTTTGTTGCATTTCATTCACAAAAAAAACCCACCCAGAGACTGCCTAAAACAGAGTTAAAAAATTCTGACTTGTTTTTTCATATTCTCAAGTCTGCCTTATTTCTCCCTTTGTGAGTCCTTGGGTGGTCTTGACAACAGGAAGCTACTAAGAGGAAGCGTGAGCAAAAGTCCTTGCAGTCTTTCTTGGGATATTTAGGAATGTGGCAGGGATTATGCATTAATGATTAATGAGTCTTAGGGAGCCACAAAAGAAAGGGCTTTAAAACTCTTTTCCTCTCTGAAATGTTTGATATAAATCGTAAAGGACTGATTGCAAACAAGTTTTCTTTACCCTTCTTTTCTCCACTGAAGTAATTTATGAAGCCACAAACCGTGCTTTTCAATTGGAATTGAAATGGAAATGTAACACAGTTAAAAGTTGTAGTGTAGAAAAGTATTTGCTAGAATGAAAGCAGTGTAGTCAATAACTTGCACAGTGTGTGTTTAAAAACATTTCTGTTTTGAGTTCAGCTGTATTTTATTTAATATTTGCCTTCAACTTGCAGGTGAAGAAAGTGGTGACATAGCCTCAGTAGGAAGAAAATCTAAAGACAAACACCTGAAGGTAAAAACTTTGGGTATCTAACAGAATGTAATGATTTGATAGAAACGATTAACCATTTGAGTAGTTTATACATGCCTGATGAGTTGGTGCAGTCAGCGGAAGACTTGATATCATCTGCATCTTAACGCACATTTTTAGCAGGTGAGGGGTTCAATAAATAGTGTCACAGAGGCCAATGAGAAGTGATCTTATTGTCTTGCTAATACCAGTGAGCCAGAGAAAGCCCTACAATGTACTGCATCAACAGGCAGTCCTGAGAAAGGCTTTTATAGGTCAGGAAAAAGAGGAACCAGATGGATCATAAGGCAAAAACACTTCCAAAAAGTATGGTCATTCACCTGAGAGTCTGGCATAAATGGGTAACATGATTTAAAGCAAATGGTAAATGTGAAATAATGCCTTCTGTAAGAGAAGCAGGCTGGAATCTTCTGCTGTTGCTTCCCAAACTCGACTATGGTCAGGACTAGCCAGAGCATTTGCAGTGTTAAGGAGTAATATTGCACACACTTTGTGTGTGCAGCCATTTTCATCTTGTGCTCTGCTTGCTGAAGTAGCATTGCCAAAAATGGGATTTACTTTTCTTACTTGTCTGGCTCTGTGCTGGTGTCTTCTCTCTGGCAACAGCTAATGCAATCTGCTTCAGAAAGTGACAGTTTGACTAATTAATTGCCTTTTTGTACAAAATTCTCTTAGGCTTTACACTGAGGCTTGTTGCAGAGTAGACCTTAGTTTGTATATGAGCTCTCACGGGGTGTTAAGAATACACGTAGAGATTTGCAGCTGTAATTGTTCGAGCTTTGTAAGCATTTTTCTTTTTTTCTCTTTTCTTTATTTGTGTGGTTTGTTTTTTTGTTGGTTTTTATCAGAGGATCTTTAAGGCAGTGTGTGCTCTTCCCTGAGTATTCTTGCTAATTATCCCTTTTTATATATCTTCACATGTAGTTCTTTCTAGGGATTTGTGGGGGGTGTTTTTGGGGGGGATTTTGGCCTAAAATGTATACATTTAGGTGTATATAATCTGAGAAATAGGTCTCATAAACTGAGAAATCAATTTATGCGGGTTGCGTATCTTGATCTGAAGAAGACTAATTTGCAGTAAATCCGAATAATCCATTTGCAGTTGCCTGTGCCAATAATTTCCATGTGTTTTAATCATTTTATTTTCCTCTAAGAATCTGAATGGAGGTGATGGACAAATCCTACAGAAAAAAAGAGTTCCAGTGGATGTGATATTACAAGGTGATGAGAGAAATATTCCCAAATGGATAACGGTAAGATATTTCTCCTATTATTCCTCCTATTCTAAGTGACTAGCTAGTTAGAATAAAATAAAAGCTCTTTAACTGGGTAGCAGTTAAGTGAATTCCAACACAACTTCTCTGTGGGTCTCCCATTCTTCTTCTGCTGAATGTCTGTGTGGATCTTGGCACTTTGACAGCTGTGATATGTGAGAAACAGAGCAAATGTTTTATAAATGTATATTCACTTTTTTTTTTTTTTTTTTTACTTTGATACTTAGTTCTTGGAACCCTGATGTGCAGGTTGATCTTTGAGCTGTCAATTTTCCTAAAAGTCTGAATCTGACCTTGGTAGAGGACAAAAGAAAGAATTAGCTTTGTTTTGATTTGGGGGGCGAGGAAGATCAGAGGTGAAGTGTCAGGATACAGCTTCTCTTTTGTGCTGGAGCTGCCAGAGATGTCTAGATTATTCAGGGGTGTGTGTGTGTGTGTGTGTAGATATATATATATATCTCCATGGATAAATTCTTATATTTGGGGTAGGGATTAATACATGACATATAATGTATAAGTTGAAAAAACCATGGCTAGCTTTCCAAGAATAAACTAGTAACTCCTAAAACTTGCTACTGAAGTCTCAGACTAAATGTTTTCCGCTTTGCCTGAACTTGGCTGAGCCCTTAAAGACCATAACTGTACATGACCCAGAGCAGCAAGAGGCAAGGAAGCCACACATAAGGTTTTGATGATATCTTTAACATGCAAAAAACTCAGAACGTGAGATAGTTTTTTACTTTCTTTGTTTTTCAGATAACAACTCCAAGTTCGTCAAAAAGTCATCGTTCAACGTCGCCGGGGCGAGAACTGATTGGTACAATTAAGACTTTTGTCTGTTGGTCAAATATATTTGTATATCTATATGCTTTTATTATAATTCATTTGGAGAACTATTTTATTTATTGTAACCAGAGGCATTATTTATCCAGCTGAAAATTTCAATAGCCTGGATTTCAAAGGACAGTTAGACATGATTTTGCTTATGGTAAAATGTATTTGGAAAACAGAAAGCAAATAACTTGAGTACATAAATCCTACTGTTCTTATGCAGCCTCAGGAATAAATATGCATAGTTACTAAGTTCAGCAGTATTTAGCTCACTGAAAGTGGTGGTTTTTAGTCCTGTTTGTTTTAAACTCAAACAATGTAATATAGTGGCTTTCGGTCTGCTGGTGACTTGTAGTCAAAGTGGTACTTGCACGTCAACTTTGCTCAGAAGGTTTCCAGCGTTGGTGCAAGCCTAAGAGTTTTAGTGTAAATATTTTAGGCTTAACAGCTACAGAAACCATTATTTTAATCGTCATTTATGAAAGCAAAAGCTGCACTTGTACTAGCCAAGTACAAACTTTCTAGGAACACAGCAAATAAGTTACAAAACCTTTTGTATAAGGCTGTGTACTTCTGATCGGGAGTCACAAAATGGCAAAGAAGTCTTCCTCTGCAGAGAATATCTGCATATTATGCTACTTTGAATAGTGTGTTTTTTCCAATTCATTTGATTTTTTTTCCTGTCTAATATGTGAATTCCCTATGGTTAGGAAGTGTATTAATTTTTTTTTGTAACAATCAGTAAGGCTATCTGAATCATATGCAGTTGGTTTTAAATTATATAGTATATCATTGGAAGTGCCTTAATAGGTTTGGATTTTTTCCTGTCTTCTGTTTTGCTTTTTGACTCATTGTAGTTTTTGGTTTGGTTTTGGGTTTTTTTTTGAATAGGCTATCAAGCTGCTGTTTGCAGAAAGAAGCTAGAATTTTCAAATGAATGTTCTTCATCCAGATATCCACAGTTACAACATTCTGCTTTTCCCATTTCCTCAAATACCATAGCCTCACCCAGGCATCAAGCTTGTCCAGAACTGAGCACGACTTCATGTGGTAGTATTTTTGGAGATGAGGAATGCTCCTTGAGCAGTCCAACTCTTTCAAGCTTGTATCCAGCAATGGTAGAGATATTTACAAAGCTCATGGCAAAGCATTCTCTGAGAAAAGTGTTGAAGTACATGTTTGGAGACTTACGGTCCAAGAGACGGCATTCTAGAAGACCAAAGCTCAATGTCACTGTAGACAAAATGAGAGGGTTCAGACCCTGTAAATTTAAACTAAAGAAAGGATTTCACAGCATGTGTAGCTGTAGAAGTAAAGACAACCAAATTCCAACTTATGGGAATGAGAGCAGAGAATTCTGTTGTGACAGTTGCCTCATTAGTAATTCATCTGGTCTGGTGCCTTATGCATGTGCTGATACAAATGAAATCAAAAAAATGCACTACTCTGACTCAAGTTCAGAACAACATTTGGCATCTGGAAAAAGCCAAGAAGTCTGCAAACATACTGCTTTTCCTGATGTTATGGATAGAATAGGAGAGAGATTTCTAGTTGAAAATAAATTACAGGCTACTGCCTCACCAAAGAATTCAGAATACGCAGAAGGTGAAACATTTACTTACAAACATTTCTCAGAACCCAGTTTTATAACATCTGCTGCTAGTTCAGATGCATTTCATCTTGTAAAAGAGAGTAAGACTCAGAAAACTGACTTCTTTGTTGGTACCTCAGAGTTGTGTTCATCTGCTTGCAGTTCCCATGGCAATAGAAACAATTCCATACCTACCACAAATTGTTCTCCTGCAAGATCATCAAAGGTGTTCGTATATCCTCAAAAAATAACTTCTTTCCAGCCCAAAGAGTCATTTTCCTCCTGGAAGCAGAGTTCTTCAAAGACGGACAAAGAAATAGATGCTGCATTTGACGAACTCTACTACAGAGTGATTTCTGGAGAATACCTAAAGCCTTTGTCATTGACAAGCCCTCTGTTAAAGTCACAGAACCTTGAAGAGAAAGGAGTATTAGTGAAGAGTAATCTAAGTGTTTCTGAGAGGTCCCCTAAACAGTGTGATGTAGAATTTGAGAAACTGTGTGGGAAGCCTGTTCCAAAATCTCCTGGGCTTCAGACAACTTCAAATTTCAGGAAATACGAAGAAATAAAGATGCCTCAAACTGTAAATGCCCTTGTTAACTCTCCTGTCCAAAGATATTCTTCAATTTCCAGTGTTAAAAGAGCGGGAAATTTTCAATACCATCTTCCTTGTTCACCAGTAAAGCGACTGAAATTTATACCAGAACATTGTTTTTCCTCAAGCAAATGTCAGGAGATTTCCCACAGTAAAGAGTGTAATCTTCAGACAGGTGGCATGGGTTTTTTGAGCACGTTCAACTGTAGCAACCCCAGCTTTTTTGCTGATCACAACCGTCATTGTCAGGTATTTAAGGACCTTGGGGGAAAAAAATTGTGCACCTGTAGATATTTGGAGAAGGGCTTAAGAATGGATTAGAGCTGCAAGCTGTTTTAACTAGGGATAGCATACTTCTGGTGCTTTTTGGTCAGTAGGGATGTTTTACAGCTCTGGGGACTTGGGGATATCAGGTCTCCTGGATCCATGTGATAAGCTCTCTATATTTAATTCATTTGAAATGGTTCTAAATTAAAGGTTTTACTCCATTTTAATAGACAATGTTGCTGGAAAAAATGATCTCAAATAGTGACTCAGTTATGGTGTTATCCTTCTGAAATAATGACATTAATTTTATAGACTAAGAAGGTGAAACAAACAAATTCATCTTTATAGGGTTTCACAGGAATCATTAAACTTGTTGATTTAAATTAGACACCTATTTCCAAGTTCACAGTCATTTCTTCTGAGGCAAGCTGTGAAATAGTGTATTTTTTAATGAATGTTATATGTTCTATTTTCAGGGTTCTGCATGTCATGATTCCTCAGATCAACGTTTTCTTGGTATTCCTGGCACTTCCCTGCAAGGTTAATTTCAGACACTTTATTAATTTGCGCAAGAGTATTTTCTTAAGGAAATTTGCCCATTGAAGTACTTTCAATGTTTAAATAGGCTAAACAACATTCTGTAATGTTCATGCTCCTCAACATTGTTCTTGCCCTTTTCATCCACTGTTTCTAATCAGCAGAATCTGGGACTGCAGGTGCACACTCTGGATGTCCTGGGGGAATGGAGAATTGCAGCTCTCTGAGAAATGTGAGCAAGTGTCACCGAAGGTAATAATAGCCTCTTTTTTAAAGAGATTTCAAAATGAATTCTTACTCCTCTACGCCTCTATTAAAGATATGGAGGTGACATGCATACTTGTAGAATGAAAATGAGTGTGGGAGAGCCCAAGCTAATCACACCTGCAGACTTGAACACTGAGAGGCAAGTGTCTGCGGTCAAAATTAGCCAGACTCCAGCAAGGGGAGCTGCTGAGCACGAGACAGTAAGATGACCTGACTGAATGCCTACTGTAATCCTTATCTGGTGTTCTTTACAGTGGCATTTATTATTTTAGATATGCTATGGAATTGTTTTTATTGTGGCTCTGTGTTTAAGCTGACAAGTCCTCTCGGAGAGGAGTGCAGCACATTGTTATTTAAAAGGACTTGCAAAAGTTGGCCTCTGTGCAGTTGGGCATCATTACCTGCATGGTGGTGGCTCTGTTTGGAACATATCAGAGATCCTGTACTCCTGCTATTAACACCACTGGCAGTGTATTTAGATCTCTGGAAGCAGGACACTCTTTCAGTTCCCTGAATAATGGCCTAAAATGTCTGGTTTTCATAGAAAATAGTAACTTTTAAATGATTATAAAGCTTCAGATCTCTTCGATTTTAAAATTACAAACATTTAATATTCTAAGGATTTTTAAATCATTAAATCTCTCTAAAAATTCCTGATTTTATTTACCAAAACATTTTTTACATGCTTTTTTGGCATAAGTGTAATTTGTCACCAGACATTATGCTGCTTCCCAAGCTCAGTCAAGAAGTATTTTCACTATGCTTGAGATCGTCATATGGCTGATATCAACATTTACTGACAATGTTTGAATTAGATGTTCAAAGGAAGGCTGAAAGCATTTTTTTAAACTACTTGTATGGAGAATTTAACCAGAAAAAAAGTTTAATGATGTAAAAAAAGTTTCAGTTTAAGCAAAGATGGAATTGAAATTTAGAGGCTTGTATTAGAAATACATACAATATTGATAAAGATTATATTTTGATTATTTCTTATATAATGAAAGATTGGAGACAAGCTGATGCTATGCAAGGATGTTTTTGCAATGTTGAGTATGCCCATTTAACGGAGCAAAGTTCTTCTCACTTTTTGGATTTCTTTTTGTTCTTCCTCACTGCATTATTCTGTGTCCTCATACAAAACAACCGTTCCTGTAAGATTAGTTATTGTTTGAAAGGAAATGGGTTTTCTCTCTTTAATGCCTATAAGTAGAGAAATCAAAATTTCAGAGTTTTCTTCCAAGTCATCTGGAATAAAATCTATTTCTTTCTTCTTTAATTACACAAAGACATGTTTGATGATTTGTAGCCAAAATGGACTGTTAGCTGGAAAGCTTCCTGAGGCCTGTGGTGTGATATTTTTAGCTTTCTATGGTTCCCTGCAGTGAAGTTTTTTAATGGCTTCAGATCCCTCAGATGTTTAATGCCTAAGCCATGTGGGAAAATGCTCTATTTTGTAAGGAATGGTTGTGAAAAGAAAAGGAATAATGTATTTCTATCTGGAACCAGATTGCCTTTATCTAGAAGATGATTATGAAAGAGATTTCTGAAAAGGAAATGTTCATAACTAATAACATAAGTGTTCATAACTAATGTTCCTAACAGCTCTGTGTGAACACTGTCCTACAGCTTTACTGCTATACTTAATTGTCAGATGTAAACCAAATTAGTTTAAAATAGGAGAGAAAATTCAAGCAATTTCTTAAGTAATATGCAAGGTGTTCTCACTTGTGTCTATACCTTTTAACTAGTTGTGAATACATTCCAAGATTGCATCTCAAAGTTTAATAGATATACATAACTTAGATAGATCTAGTAGCACTAGTGAGGCATTAAAATGACATAGCATGAAAAGCTTCCTCTCCATCTGAAAGCACATAGGAAAGCAGGACAAGGAGCACTGCTGCTGTTCACAGTCAAGATGTTCAGATACCTTGCTTTGACAATTTGTTTCATTTTCATCCTGTTCACTGGAGTTTCAGCAAATACAGTATTTTTGTGTAATTTGCTCCATCATCTAAACAGTGGTTTTGTTTTTTTTTTTCCTTAGGGTATACAGAAAACTAAGCTACACTGATAGGAAAGACCAATTGTAGGAATCCCTTGGATGACTCCCTGGTTAAAGCTCACCAAGAAGCATTAATGCACTGTTGCAGTTAAAAAGTTTTATATAGGTTGGGTTTTATTCAATGTTGTTGCTTCCAAGAATCAAGGATGTAAGCAATACACAAATAGTTCTGGTTTATACTTCCTTATAGTTCAAATCTTCAGGGAGGGGTTCTTCCCTTTTAACAGGGCACTTCTGACTCAATTTATGGCTAAGTTGGATTTTTTTATTTGACAGTATTTGTAATAACAGAATGTAATCTGTATTGTTTTTGTTTGCTGATAAGCTTTGGTTCTTATTGTATTAATAATAAGGAACAAGCTCATTTACCTAAATTGCTCCTTATTCATGTTTGAGTCTCTCAGTACAGATCCAAATTCACTGCTATGTTAATGTTAACATTTTCTAAGTAGATCACCAAAGTTGATATAATAAACTTTGATTCTTACTGTGTTAATAACAAGGAACAAGCTCATTTACCTAAACTGCTGCCTATTCATGCTTTTTGGATGCATCAGTACAGACCCAAAAATCACTGCTATATGCTATGACTTAAGTTTTCTATGCAATGTTAATGTTAAAATTTTCCAGAGTTGATTGTTCAATAAAAGTTTATACTGTTTAGTAAGTTTGATAATTGCATTCTCTGTTTTGACAAAGTTGTACCTGACACAGTATGTGTCCTAAATAAAAAACTGTTCTGAACAAATACCTGCCTTCAACATTTTATTTCACTTACGTGGATTCTCAGGAGGGGTTTGTATACCTGCACGAGCAAATCCATGAGAATGAGGTATGAGGGTACCACAGGTTTTCACTGCTGTGTCCTTTCTTGGCAAGGGTATTGTGTTAGTGGTGTCAGATCAGGTACTTCGCTGTTTTATCAGCAGTGCCCCTTGTTAGCTTTCTGAGCTTCAGAAAAGGAAGATACTTGTTTTCTTTGGCTTTACTTTATTTCCAGACACACAGGAGGGGTTTATTTTAGCTCTTAAAACCAAAATCTTGTTATCTTAAGTATTGTTCTTGAATAGGACAAGAAGCCACCTCTAGTGACGTTTTCTCCGCACTACAAACTTCTGCACACACTTTCCATTCTTCATAATTTGGATATTACGTGTCTTTCCATGACAGTAGTAAAATACTGTCTTTTAGAAATGCTCTTGAGGCTCTTTTTTCTTCCTTTTCCAGACACAGATGCACTGTAGGGAATATATTTTATGAAGTATCTTCCTCTTGGATTTGTTGAGGTAATTATTTCGCAGTATTTCTTGATACACTAGTTTTGAGAGATTACATAATACATTGTTTTCTGTTCTAAAGTAATTTAGAAGTCAGCTGAAATTGTGGTTTGGACCTGTTCTGAATCTAGGTATGACTCCTACACAGCAACTTCAATGCAGCTCAGACGGGTAAGGAAGATAAGTTGGTTTATTCAACACAGCAAAATTATCTTAATGAAGATTACTTTGAAATAATTTAAAGAGGTTGTTCTTGGAAAACCTTTAAGTGTTGGAAGATAAGATCATACCAATGCCATGTTTTGGGTGCTAGCAGTAGCAAAAAAGGGAATAAGAGTTTCTATTTAGAGTTGATCTTCCTACACCATGTGAGCCAGCAGACTCTTCATACAAGCAAAAGTCTCTTGTTTCTCCTAATGGTACTAACAACTGCTAGACCAGGTATGTTTAGCCAGGTACATCTGCAGTGATTATCAAGTGCTAAATTACTGCTGAAATACATCTGCCTCAGCTTATAAAGATGTCAGTGGTGCTACCTGATCTCGTGTTTTGAGTTCCATTCTTCTACCCTTCCAAAGAGTATTGCTTTTTCCACCATATTTCCTCTTGTTTACTTATTCTTTACTGTTCCATTGAACTGGTACTTGAATGCTAAGCTTACCATTAATAAAAAAAAGCTTTACAGTGCTTCTCTTTGCTATAAAATTTTTTTTAAGGAACAGTGGAAAAACAGCTGAGGTTACTGAGACAGTGTAAACCTAAAACCTAGCACCTCTTCTTGTGTTGTAATTAGTTGAAACTTGCTTTATATGTAAATAATTTAACTAGTATATGATAGTTTATGTAGGTCTTTCTCTAATGTCTTGAAGATGGCACAATATTGAACATGCTTTTTTATGTAAGGATTCAGTAGTCATTTGGAAACTACCCCAAAACTTGTTTTAAAAAAAAATTAGGTTATTTGATTGCTTATTTAAGCAGATGGAGGGTAAAGAGCCAAAAGAATAAAGCTGAATTTGAATGTGGCAGCATTACAAATGCCTTGGAAATAGTTGATAGGCTATTAAAGATCATCCTGAGAGCCACAATCAATAATTTATTGGAGGCAGTGATTAAATGTGGAAAGGAAGTGTGTATAGCTATATATGGAGAATATTTACAAAAATGCTCTTTGAACAAACTATGTTGCAGGGGAAAGCAGCTGATGAAAATTAGCATAAACATATAGCTGGACTCAACAATGAAAATCAAGAATAGAGAGGTTAAACTAAATAGACTTAAATCCCATTAAGTGAACTTAATGTTACATGTACACTCAATGAGAGAAATGGATACCTCATTTCCATTAAATTAGTTACCAGATTGAAATGACAAGTTGAATTTAACCATTGTTTGGGGGTTTTTTTTGTTGGTTTTTTTTTCCATAAATTTATATCATCCCTTGATGTGTCCATCCATTTCTACTGTTAGAAGATGTTGGCTCTGTACTGTGTGCCTTTTGTTTCCAGGTCTGTCTCTTTCAGGACCAGTTTTAGGGCTCTGTGCTTCAGAGTTTCAAGTTCCTTGGCACTGCTCTTTGGATTTTAAAGGCTCAAATGTCCTGTTTTTTTGAGAAGGCAGAAGTGTCTGACACCTAGAGGCAGACACATTACATCAGCTTGTTTCCTGCTGCAACTACGTAATGACTCCCAGAATATAAAAATAGATACCCACTCTATAAAACATACATTTAAAGAGTTTAGTCTTCAAATAAATGTACATACAGTAAGTGAAGAGTTTGGGGAAATAAAAAGCTCTTTCTGTTTTTGTAAAATATTTAAGAATGGCAATGGAAAACCCAATAGGAATGCAAACGTAACATGGGATATTGGAAGAAATACTTCCTAGATTTATTGTTACAGATGATGTGATAATTTTTGTGGACCCTTGAATACAGCTGTATTCAATATTACACTAGTAGAGGAGTTGAGATTTGAGATGTATTCTAGTACTGTTAGAGGAAACTAAAAATACATAAAGATACTGCTAAGTCTTTTGAAATGTACAATTACTACTTTAAATCAGCTGTTAAATTATCCTCCAGTCATTGCCATAGACCAGTCACAGTCAGAAAGTTCACAGTGTGTAACAGCAGATCAGTTCTTGGTAAAACAACTAATCACCAAGTGTGCAAGTATGAAACACAATCTCATTTCAAAAGTATTGAAGTTAATATGGAATAGTTGTACTCTGCTAGAGCTGTATAGACAACAAGGGGGTCTTTTAGGACTGCTTGAAAGCTGATAATTGTTTAAAATGGGATCAGTTCTTACTGGAATCACTACCACATGAATGCTGAGCTACCAGCTTCTGCAACTCTTTCAGATTGTCTTCAGAAGGGCAGATCCATCTGAGTGGCAGTCTGGACCTATGTCTTGCTTAGTCTATAAATGTGCTTGGCAGACAGTTTGGAACACTTAAGTTACCCATTTCATACCATGGTTTAGTATGTCAGCTTTCTGGAATATTTTCTCTGATCAATCATTGATCCTCCAGAATGAAAAAGCAAATCTTACTTTATGGTTACATATTCGGTTCATTACATATTCGGTTCTCCCCCTTTGTATTATGAATCAAGCCCATTAATCTGATGGGATCATCATGAATGGCTTCTACTTTCGCCGTGTTTTCGGCAGCCAGCTGCTCACTATTGAGGTAAATGCTAACTTTGGAAGCCACCATGGCATTAGATGATCTTTCTCCTTCATCTTCCTCTAATGAAGGATCTTTCTTTCTCCTTGGTTTTTTGCATTTTCCCTTGACACTGTGATCAAGTGAGGCATAACACATCTGACTGGCAGGCTCCACCTGAAAGAAAATTCACTTTAATGTTCAGTAGTTATCCTTGTTTTAAATTCATATCTAAGTCTTCAACTATGTCTATGCTCTAATCATAATCCTGCCTGAAATTTGCCTAAACTAGCTGTAAAACAACTCATTAAAAGTACAAATTATTAAACTGTGGGAGAATGGAAAACAGATCAATATAAGCTAATGGTAAGTTACTGATAGTGGCAATATGGAAAAATTCATCAAGGTATCATTGGAAAGATTCTCTGTGGGAGAGAGGGAAGCTCATGTAATAAGTTCAGGTTCTTTGGAATGCAAGACATTATTTGATCTGGTTTTCTTCTTACTTTATGTTTTAGTTTCAATCCAGTTATTAACAGACTGTGTTCGTGCAGAAATCCAAAGATGGATGATTCTTGTCTATATATATGATCTCATTTCCAGTGCAAAATGTATGCTTTTTGTGTCTTTCCCCTGTTTTTTGTGCTTTTCAAGCCAGACCATCAATGACTATTGACTTTGAAATGTCTAGATTTAAAAAGTTTTTCTTTACCTGCTGGAAATACCCTGTGAGAGAGTCTGAAAATCCATCCCTATGAAATATGTGGCAATAAACTCAGGAAACTGATGCTAGGAATGCTTCAATTACAGGCAAATTTCATTTGAAGCTTTCATGCTTTTAGACATACAGGTATCTCAACAAAGTACAAATCAATAGAAAACAATCTTTCCCTGGTTAAGGCATATGGATTTTGCAGTGGACAGGAAAGAGCCAATCAAACTCATGAGTATCATGTGATGCAGCTTGTGTTTTCACTTGGTTGATAACTAAACCAAATAAAATTAATTGTTTACATTAGCCATGGCCATGGATGCAAATTTAATTCCATGTGATCTGCATGCCTGTGGCTGAGCTTTATTATGCTGTATTGCATGGATCTGAACCGTCTATAATTATGCTTCCTTGTTAAGGACTCAAATTGGAGGGTCAAATTTGTACTGAAATACTTTGATGAACTGAGATACTAATGCATGGTAACTTTTGTGAGACTGTGAAGATTTTTGTTATATACTCTTAGAGGATAAATAAAGGAACTCTGAGACAGACCATGTTACTCTAATTCATAAATCTATAACTAAAATTAAAGATACCTGTAGCTGGTTAACTGTTCTTTGAGGCTGGGACTTCATCTGCTCGTAACAACATTCTTCTGTAATTTATCAAAGTAGAAAAATCTTTTTATTAAGACATGCTAGTGAGCCTTAAATGATCAGACCAACAGATTCTCTCTATTAGAGAATGCTCTAACAGTAAATTAAATTAATGCTCTCAACTCCCCCCAGTTTGCTTTGGTAGGATGTTTGTGTTTGTTTTGAAATCACACATAGTTCTCTCCCTCTAATTATAGAGAGGTAAATAGCTAAGAAATTCAGACACATACTGTGAAAATGAAAATAATTTTGTGTTCATATGAAGGAGAGGTTTCTCATTATTTACTTATATGGGTGTCATTTTAGAGTGGTGGGAAGACTTCTTGCAGTTAAGAGGTAGCCACATACTGATGAATTTTTCAGCACAGGCAGCCTTTTCTTTGAATGAGAAAGAGGTTGTGAGTTGCAGCAGCTGGTAATTAAATTCAGTTTTACAGAAAACTGAGTCTACTTCAGTTTTCTGTAAATTTGGTTCTAGTTATTTTTTCATGTTATATCTCATTTTAGCCACCAGTAAAACAGATTACTTCCTTACAGTTTTCAGACTTTTACAATGTCACTGCATTTGAGTGTTGACTTGATTCAATTTATGCAAACTGTGTATGAAAAAGTTGGGTTTGTTCGGGCTTTTTTTTCCCCTGCAGTTCAAGTGCTTTAGTTTTGCTTAGCTCCAATTAAGGCTTGCAGAAAAAGTTGTTCTCGTTACTTAAATACTGCTTTAACTCTATAAGGGCTTTGAAACCCTCTGCACATCCAACTCTCAGTGCAATTACACGATGTTACAGCCTTTAAGGTGGTGTCTGTGCCAAGGATTGTTAACTTGAGCACAGTAAAGCAGAGCCAAGCTGTCTGCCCGCCATTCAGCTGCTGGGCTTCAGCACATTTGTTAGTGTCGCTGGTGATGTGTGGATAGCCACAGCAGAGAGCTCATATGTGTTTGTTTCTGCCTGCTTCTGTGGGAGCACTGACCTTGGACCATGAGTAATATGTGTTTTAGATTGCTTTGATAGGTGTGGATCAAGCTGCTGTTTCAATTAGTGTAGCTTTACATTTAGACAAATTCTTTATTTTGAGATACTTGGCTGAACAGGAACATATGGACTGTAAAAAATCAAATTCAGTATGAGGTCTGTTCTCATAAATAGCAGTGCTGTATGAAGGTTTGCATTTCTATGCCAAGTATCTTTAAATAATTTCAGTTATATCAATAGTTGAAAATACGTAGATTCTCAAGTTTGCCATTTGAGAAATGCAAAATATGTCAGTCAGTCATTTTTTAATCATACATTTTTATAGCCACTGAATAGACACATGTTCCTAAAATAAAGCTTACCTAAAATATCTTGATTGAGATTGCCGTAAACTGGATAATCTTCTGTGTGATAGCCATCATAGCTACCAGGGGAATGAAAAAATACTTTTAATTCACAGAATATGCTTCATTTAGCACCCCAATACTATATTTTAGTAAATGTTTTATGCAGATCGTTTGCTATCTTATAAACAAAATCAAATATATATGAGAGGGCAGAAATGGCAGTGTGGGTATTCTCAGGAGAGATTTTTACCTAGCCCAGAATTGAACTCTCCTTTCCTGTAACTTCATTAAGCACAAAGCTAATCTCAAGACTATTAAGCTACTGTTTGAGGTAGGGTAAGAAATATTAATGATCACTGAAAGGAACCCAATTCATGTCCTCTGATACCACTGCAATACAAACTAACGCACCATATGTGTCTTTTGGGACAATGTTCTTAAAAGGTCCCGTCTTGACTCAACTGAAATACTTCTGTCAACACAAACAGAGAAGACCAAAGCCGAGTTCAGCTTTGCATTTTTAATTATATGTTGTGTTTCATTATCTGGTGTTAGTTGAAAATGTTTTTAAGTGGACTTGTAAAATGGGAATTGTTAGTGGGAAGCGCTGTGTAACCTTTCTACTGCACCCCTATATTGCATCTCATCAAGGGGGTGAAGTTGTGCTCTAACACCACATTCAGTGGTATTTTTCATCTGAACAGGCAGTAATAGACAAATATAGGCTTGCCAATTTCAAGAAAATTTGTAATTGAGAATTGGTTTTGAGTAAGAGGTGCAGGCTTTTGTATTTTTGTTTGAAGGGTCTTTTTTATATGGGTTGAGATGAGACTCTATCCATCTCTGTTTTCTAAAGTTTGGGCTTGGTTTGGGGTTTTTTTCTGTGTGGCATAAGAGAGAGAGACTTGAAACAGATTTGTGTAATGGATCATGAGATATCCTACAGCTGTAAACGCACTTTTTTATTGCTTTTGGATGCTATGTGTAAAAGATGGTTATGAAGTGTAAATACATGTAAATTATCACTCCACAAGTATTAACTATCAGACTATAATTAGTCACTGCTTTGTGAGAGCTGAGAGTTCTTTTGAATTATTATGGAATTATTGACTTTAAGTGATAGGTAATGGTTGTTTAACTCAATATCTTGCACTTTCAGATAAAATTATAGTATTAGCATGCAATTATTTAATTGTTGATAAAATGACTGGAGGATGTATCTCACATGTGAATATTTTTTCCCTTGGTTTTTTGATTTTTTTTTTTTTCCACAACCAACATTTCCAGGCAGACTGCATGAGATATTGAATTTTCCTCTATGTCATCCCTCTGAAGCCATCTGTCATTATTTACTGCATATTTTACCCTTGCCAGAAAAAATTGTTTTGTACAACTTACCTTGGATCGTTCTCTTCATAGTGTTTAAGTATTTTAGCTGGATTAAAAAAAAAAAAAAGTTAAGAGAAAATGAAACGTTATTTTAGAACACTTCAGTCTCAACAGGCATGGTTTTGGTTTTGTTTTAGAGAATACAGTTGAAAGCTCTGGCTGTCAGGATCTTCATTTGTCCCTCTACTTTTCTCAAATATTTTGTCAAATACAAGAAATGTTTGTGTTATGGCCCTGTGCTGTGCCTACAAAGTCTACATTAGTTTACAGTACTCAAAAAACGTAACACGTGATTCATTCTTTATTTCTTCCACATTCTCCTTCTCCCTCATTTTTTTTCTCTCAGATTTTCTCTGGTGAATCGTGTTAATATTACAAAGTGATGGGTTTATTTATTTCACTCGTTCTGGTATGGCTGAAAAAGAGATCCTGTGATCCACACAGATGAAGAAACTGAAGCAGAGAGGCAATGGCTACAAAGAGATTTCATGCTAGAGCTTGATGAATAATTCAGGAGTGCCTGATTTCCTAAACTCTGCTCCAGGACCCCAGAATTTACCACAGTAAGCTCCAGCTCAATGACTAATGCAGTATCAGCCACTCTAACCTAAATCTTGGTCAGATTGGTTTTGTAAATGATTGTGATTCTTCCTCAGAGATATCTGCCTACTAGCCCTAAAACACAAACCAAAAAGCTCAACTGACACCCATCCCAAAAGACTCCAGCAGCTCTCTTAATATCCTCTGAAGGTCTGACTCTCTAATACTTGGTGAGGGCAGTTTATAAGCCTGGGCCTTCTGTTTATGTAGATTATATACACGGGTGTATTTAGCCTTGTTGAAGTCACCAGTGTTTGCCTGCCCGCCCCACGTGTACAGCACGGGCAGTTTTCCCTGTGTAAAGGGGATGGTGAGGATTGTACAACTTCCTAACCAAAGAATCACATGCATAAGGCCGGTTGCACTGGCACAATCTGTCAAAAAATATAAGTTAATTTTAACCAAAACCAGAGTATGACTGCAGCCATATGAGAGACACACTGGTTTAAGAAATACATTAGAATCCTATTATGAAAAGCAATTAGAATGTTTTTCCAAAATACACTGATAAGGCATAAAATCTGTATGCAATCTGAAATTCAAATGAGCATTCAGGAATTTGGGGAGGAGAAAATTTTCTCAAACATATTTTCTATCTACTTAAAATATTTTTTAAATGGAAATATAAATAATCAGTTATAGGAAAAGTATCCTTTCTAGGAAAGGAAATTGCAGGTACTAAAAATAGACTTTAAAAATAAAAATTTAGTCAGAACTAAATTCTTCTTGTTTTGCTGATTTGTCTTCAGAGAATGGATTTGGGTAGCTGTTTTTAGCAGTGGATTGGGCAGTTAGCAATCATTTTGTAATGATACCTGACTGTCCTAAAAATTTTTAAAAGATAAATCCTCTCTAGTAAAATCATTCTTGCAAAAATATAACTTTAAGATTCAAAAGAATCAATTTGTTGATTTGATAGCTCTGAGCAGGGATGGCTTTAAACATTGAAATTCCATTCCTTACAAAGAGACATTACTTACATTGCTTCTTTTTCATACAGTGTACAATATTCAGTGTCACTGAAACAAGCAGAGCCAAACTCAGGAAGGCCAAGACTCCCCAGACAGAAAAATGGCAGTCCATTCCTGTAACTGAAAGAAAATTTACTATTTGTGTTGTCTAACAATATTACTGTGTTCTTCATGCTTGGCTGGTTTTTGCTTTCTGTAATCGAAGCTGCTATTTTGCTGTTTACTCTCTGACAGCTATTGCTATACAAGCTAAATAATTAATATCAAAACCAGATGCTAAATAATAAGAAAGCAACTTTAATAAACTGTTAGTAGAAATACTGTTTCATAGGAATTCAGCCAAAGATTAAGCTGTTGGTTTGCCTGTAAGATGCAGTAAAAATCAGAAATTAAAAAAGAAAAAAGTCATTTTACTGGATAGCTTTGAAATTATTTTTGCCGTTGTCTTTAAGTTAGTATTTGCAGTAAATTAAGTAAATTCTTAGCTAAATTCTGGAGCTCATGAAAGTAGTTCTGAATTTATTCAAAACAAATTTCCTGGATGTGTCTCAGAATAAGCTAAGACTGTAACGTTTTAACAGTCCCTAGAAAAAAAGTAAAAATTTGGTTATGTTTTCTTGCATTGTCTTCCAGCTATTAAAACCACTTACTTGTTCTTATTTTCTTGCCTGAGAAACCAGAGAATTTGATGATAAAGGATAAGCATCAGCTGGGAGCCAGTGAAGCCCCAGGGAAAAGTTCAAACAGCTCCTGGAAAATCACTTGGTAAAAGGTGACTCCACTTATCTGAACAAAGTCTTCTTTTGCTCTAAACTTGCCACTCCTTGCAATAAGAAAGACAGGAAAGAACCCCCCTGCACAAAATCTGATTTTTCATTTAATGAATTCTTTGGTTTACCTTGCTTATACAAATTTCCCTCACAAACCATGCTGAATAAAACAGCCTATTTGTGGCTGTCTAGTGGCCAAAATTATCAGCGTTGCTACGAATGGCCTGGGAAAGCCTTCCGTGACAGAGGAAACACTGAGCCAAATAAATGAGTGAAAGGAGCTTGCAGCTTTATTCTTAACTTTCCTCAGAGTCATGTTCTCTGAGATGTAGAGTGTTTGAAATAAAGCCTGGTGCCCAAAACTAATGACCTCTAATAGTGCATGAAAAGAAACGTGTAGCCGGAGCAGAGCAGTCACAGAGCTGGATTGGACGATACTGATCCTTAATGCACTTAAAGTAAAGCCAAGTGAAAGGAGGACAGGAATGCACTTTTCCATGTTGCTGGCCAGGGGAGGGTGGCAATGCATTTGCTCCTGCTGAGAAAACAGAGCTTTGTTCCTTGACTGATCGGGCTCCAGCCCAAAACCTTCTTACAGGTTTTGCCCCCTCATTGTGCTGGTGTTGCCAAAGCTCTTTTTGTTTTGTTGTACTCCAGCCCCCCAGTTGTTCTTATAATGACAAAACAAGATAAGATAAGCCCTGGTAGTAAAAAATCACACATCACCTGGGCTTCTGGGATGCAGGATTCTTTCCTGATCAGAACACTCTTTTAAAATGAACAAAGCAAAGCAAATAAGCTGTAATCTTCTGGCAGACTTTTAACTTTTTTTTGCACGTGGTATTTTTAGTGACCATTTATTCTTCTTTTTAAACTAAACATCCTGTTTCCCTCCCTTTCTACTACTTGAGTTCTCCCAAATGTGCTTGGGAGTTCTTTATCACTGCAATACTGCTTTTCATGTTGAAAGGCACTTCTCTGCAGTGAGACACAGACATTTATGAGGAGAGACAATATCCCCATGGAGCACCTATACATCATTCCAATTTTTCAGGGAAGGAATTAAAAGAATGGGAGATCCTACACTGAGAAGATGTTATCGGGGGCATCAAGAATGATCAGTCTTTGGAACCTGGTTACTGTGCAATTAGTCACTCAATATTGCATCTCATGCAACCTGTCCAAAACTACAAGTCTGTCCAGGACAAGAAACTTCAAGTTTCTCTGTTGTACCTAAATAATCAGAATCCTCTAATTCTTCTCCTGTCTTTTTATTTTTTCTGATGTGATTGGTTTCCATTCTTCTCATGTTCATTTCATATTTTTTTTTCCCTACACACACTTTTCCCAGGAAGCAGAAGCAGTTTTGTGGCCTACAAGAAGGGAAGCACATGTAACTGTGATAGAATCACAGCATCAACCACGTTGGAAAAGTCCTCTGAGGTCATCGAGTCCAGCCTGTAACTGAACAACACCTTGCCAGCTGCACCATGACACTCAGTGCCATGGCCCTTCTTTCCTGAAACACCTCAGGGACACTGACTCCAGCCTGGGCAGCCCATTCCACAAGCCACAACACTGAGATTCATTAGAACAAAAAGAGTGAGCAGGTGCTGAAAGGACAGTTATTATCTAACATTGTTCCTTTTTCTTCTTATAGAATGTTGCCATTTATCTCTCTGATTCAGGAATCCAATTTTTGCCTGGTGTTTCCAGAGTAGAAGGAAAACTCTTAGTTTCAATTTGACTATTTTCAGCCCTTAACTGGCCCACTTTTGTTGACAAGTATTATTTTAATGTTTCAGTTTTTGATTTAAATTGAAATTATTATCTGGAAAATAGTAAAGGTTGGATAAAATGATTTTCTTTTTTAATTTTCAAGTTTAAATTCTATAGTATTTGAGCCATCCTACTTCGCAATAATTTAAAAAACATTCTAGGAAAAAAAATATATGAAACTTGGATTTCTCATAAAACGTACCAATGTTTTAAATTTTACAATCTACAGTTTTTAAGCGTGATTTAGGAAATTTCATGGGTGTGGACAGATTAAGAAAAGAACATTTACATTTCTTTCTGGATGAACACTACTTAGTTTATTTTTAAATTTATTTTCTATAACACTGACTTAAACATTTGCTTGTGTTTCAGTAGAATGTATACAAACATATGTGTGACTTCATTATTTTTTTTGTTTGTTTTTGCAATACTAGCTATTTGTTTGTCAGACAACACTACTTATATGGGAGAAACAACAGCCGTTTTTACTTAGCCTGTAAAACCATAGTAAACACTTTGATTGGAGATGTACTGGTGCTCTTCTGTGACATCCACGTCATTCTAACATTAGTTTCAAGCTACCCAGATTTAAAATGAGAAAATCCAATTTTATATCCTAGCTTTACAGATATGCAACTCCCAGATCTTTCCTATGTCTTCTTGTTCTTATAGGTGTTTCTGATATGCTGCTTACATTTATCACTTCATTATTTCAATATTAACTACTTTGACAACAGCAGCATTAGAAGGAAAGCTGACCAACTGCGTGAAGAACAATTTGTCTCCACGGATAACTACACCACTCTCCCTAAATGTACAATATCCTAAATGCAACCTCTCACAGTTAACAGGTTGTGCTAAAGACAAAAATAAGATAGGGAGACTGTAGATGGTGAGTGAGAAATAGACAACAATTCTATTGGACTGATTATATTCCATTTTGAAATGTTGTCTTTTGTTCTATTCTCTAATTTTAATTCTCATGCAAGTCATCTATTCTCAAATGGAGCAAAACTATGATGATTTTTTTTTTACGTAACATAGAATTAGTCCAAAGAACCTGTGATACTGTATTCAGGGGCATTCTCATTCAAGCCGTCAAACTGAATATTTTTAAAAAAGAATGTTGCATCTTTTGAAAAAAGTCATGTGGAATAATTAGGCTGCTTGGGAATAGGACACTATGATTCTAAAACGATAAGCTCAAATTCCATTGGGGTTTTCTGGGACAGTCTGTCTGTGATAGGACTTAAGGGTGGTAGTAGTTTGTTACAAGAAATAATATTGAAGTCTTCTTAAAGTAACGTGCTACTCTGTGAAAGGAAGAAGTTCATTACATACCCAAGGTTTCATGAGAGGGACAACAATTCTTGTTATATTGTTAGAAGACTTTGGGATGCATGGGTGGAGAAATAATATATTTAATAATTATAAAGATGACAGGATTTTGATTAATATCAGACTCTCTCTAATATTACTGACACATTCTTATGCTGCTGTTCTTCCATTTATCTTTGAAAACCAGGTTAAACTTGGAGTAGCATCCAAGTAGAATGTCTGTCTTAGGTAAGTTACTTCACTTGGATAATGTTTTTACTTTTCTGACTTCAGGGATGGGTTACTCACAACCTCTTAGTATATTTTCCAGTGTTATAAACTGAATGTACTAAATTCACACCACAAATATAGACAAACAAAAGACCTTCTAAATAGATAGTTATTTGTGTTTTTTCTCTTTAAAAGTCTATTGACAACTTTCTCCACCAACAGAAACATGGGAATAAATAGAGTTTTTGTTATTTGTTCTTAGATTTTCTCTTTACAGGGTTCATTATATTGTCACTGGAGTGCTGTGAGGGAAAAGAAGCTAAAAAAAAAACCCAACCAAAAAAACCCAAAATCCTCCAAAGCATTCTAATCTTTCCTGGGTGAATTTCTGCTATTCCTTTTATTGCAACTCAAAGGAGTGGATATATCCTGTAGGGACTGGAGCCAGATTTAACAATTCATGTTGGATATTTGTCCTATTAACAACATAAGAATAGGTAGCAGAAGTACTATGTTTTGTTCCTCCTTGCTCTAATATATTTTCTTTAGATAATCCATCACAAGGGATAACAGGGAGATAGAATGCTTTTACCAGGGTTTTGTACTGAAAAGGACCATGAGGTGAGGAACATAGATACCATCTAGCTGGACATGCCATCTGTGGTATCAACGTGCTATCCACAGCAGCAGATTAATTGCTACCAGATTTATGGTGACAATCTGGAGCACAAAATAGTTTCTTCCCTTTCTTTCCTCTTGTTTTTGTCTGCAAATTTGTTAAAGATTACGTAAAACTGCCTTTCCTCCTCCCTTCCAATTAAACGTCGATATAAATAATATTTTGTACTAATGGTCCTTAGAAAAAGAAACTCATTAAGAGACTGATGAATGTTAAATTAGCATTAAAAATGCTTCCACCTGTGTGAGCATTTAATACAGGATTAATTCTCTGAAAAAGATTCCTTAAACTGCAATTAATTAGTGCACAACTAATTGCTTTGTAAGATATCAACTTCATATTTCAGAAGGGAAACAGCACATTGTAAAATAAGAAGGCCCACAGCACATTATAAAACAAATGCCTTAATTAATGAAGGTTTAGCACCCTGAGCCACATTTTTAGAAAACTGAATCTACCATAGTGTGGTTCTACTGCTCCTATGCTTACAAGTTTAAAAGATAAGGCTTACCTGGTTCTGTTGCTTCTAGGAATACTCTCCTCTCCTTTACCCAGCAGGAAATCAAGTTATGTTGGCAGAAGATGGATACTCTTGTTTTGAACCTGGCAGCATGAACCTGTCTTTATAGTTGTTGTTAATCTCAAATCCCTCCAGTCTTTTTTTTTCACCTTCTTTCTTGCAAACAGGAAGTGAGGTTCAGCTTTTACAAGCAAACACACATTCTCCTTCAGTGTTTGCCTCCAAAAGAGAATCAAAGTATTCATGTATATGCTTGTATTTATTGTCCACCTGTCCTGCCTCAGAAGAACATGTACAGGACTATTAGTTTCATTGAAGTGATACAAACCTGCTTTTGTAATATTCATATTCACATTCACACTCTAAGTCTTCTTGAGTTAATGTTATGTTGAATTCAACAAAAGTATTTAGGTGCTTCTTAAAATAAATTACAGAACTATTTTACCTAGGAGTGCTATGTGACTCTGGCTCTCTTGAAGTTTCTAAACCAAAGCAGAAAATCATTGCTGAGAGCTTACAGTTTAGCAATAACAGGATTCAGAGGCATGATGAAGGAATTATAACACTGCCAGCTCTTGAAAGTCAGGTTAGAATAACATAATGTCATTCCTCCATTGTTTCGAGTTTATGAATCTGGGGCCACAGTCCACTACAGTTGTATAAAGAAAGGATAAACCAGTATGTGGCTTACTGTGTGTATTTTTCTTTAGAATTTAATGAAATGTGTCTGTGTTTAGGTAGAGAAGCCATTTTATTCTCAGAATCAGACTAGCTTCTTCCAGAGGAAGCTTGCACACTGAGCATTGTCAAAGAAACCTTCTGCTAGCTTCTGATGTTTTAGATATAGTTTGGGGTTTGGGGTTTTTCTTTAGAGCAATTGGTTTTGTTTCCTACGTATGGTGTAGAAGTAGGAGGGGGTTCTTGTGAAAAGAATGTGAATCACATGATTATGTTTGTCTTTTTGGAATACATAAACTGAAATAGCCCTCAGTGTAATCTAAGGAGCAATATAAAGTTCTGCTCCTTCTCTAATGTGAGAAAATGTCCTCTGCAGTCTGTATTTACTTGGATTGCTATTACTTTGGATTATTATTTTCATATTAACTGACTGCCTTGGATCAATGCTTAGGAAATAATTTACTAGATTAGCATCTAATTTGAACATGAAGGAACAGATTAGTCTTGATTAAAATAATATAGCCCATTCAATTCTAAGAATGGTATAGACTCTTAACTACTCAGAGCATTATCATAATGAAGTGAATAGAGCAGGAGGAATTAATCTGAAAATACTCAAAATGGTGGCGATTCTTATCAAAGGATACTGAACTGAGAGAGGAGTTGGTAGATGTACATTGTGAAAACAAACTTGTTTCATTTCTCAGCTAGGAGCACATGGAGTAAATCTCAGATCTGCAGAGGATTCCAAATAAAATGCTTATCAGCCTGAACAAGAAGCTTACAAGAAATAAACTCCTTTGGAGATAATTAGGAGCATAATGGAAGGGTGAACACTGAGAATGTAGCAGGGGATTTCTGAGTCTGTAGTCCTGCTGGTGTGTTAATAAATCTGCTCTCCAAGAGCAAATCATTGCTCTGCTGTATCAGCTTCGAATGGCTGCAAAAGCAAAGTCTATTGGAATAAGTGTGAACTTGGTATGCTATTTTGGGCAACTTGCAAGAGACAGAAGGCTCTGTTAGATAGCAAGAAAATATTCGCTTCAGGCAGTAAAATCCATTGGGAATATGAGGTTTCTTTTTTTTCCTTTCCTTTGTATCAGTGCTATGTTAAAAAACTTAAGAGAGCCAGTAGTCTGCATGAAGTGCTGTTATTCAGGACAGTAGAGACAAGGACAAATCATGACTATATTTAGAAAGAGAGGACATAAGGCAATGCTACTTCATCCCCATCTATTGCATACAATGGCATTTCCTCCTCTGTTTTAAGTCCCCAAGCTATAAATTCCTGGGTGCATATTCTGGGAAAATGTCTCTGCCTGCTTAATTCCTTACGTGATCTTTGGTAAACATATGATGCTGGTATCTCAAGAAAAGAGTCTGTCTCAAGTGGACATCTGCCTGGGCTGGGAATAGCTCTTGCTACTGAAGTTCTTGGAGAAGGTAAACAGAGCACGATTAAATACTGATGTGCGCAGATGTACAGAAGGAATGAGTGTGCTGAAATGGAGTCAAACAAACAGTACATAAGTGCATTTTGTAATGCATGCAAGTTGCCAGCAAGTTGTGCTTTTCTAAAACTGCAGAATGCATGTTTATTCTGGCTTCCTGAAGGTGAAATAAGTTGCACAACTGACAACACCATCAGGCCTCAAATGCCTACTTTATCTATTACTACTCAAATTACAACCTTTCTTTGAAAAATTGTATAATTTTCTATGCTAAGTGTTGCAGTGGAAATCCCCTTGCAAAGAATGTAAGAGACACTCTTTGTAGTAGCAGTCTTGAAAAGAATAAGTATTCCTGCAAGATGTAAGTTATATTTCTGTTTGAAATGGAAATCTATTTTTAATAATAAAATTTCAGAATTTTCTGGGCAAAGTGACTGCAGCAGAAATGTTTTTAATTGGGTTTATGCTGAAGTGCAGTCTGCTCTGGTTCTAGTCTCTCGAACATATTGGAGAAATAGAAATGTTCTTTTAAGCTGAGCATGTGACTCTAGTTCGATGTCAGGTGCAGACCTGGTGCTCCTTGTGCTGTGAGCACAAATGAGCAACAGTGCTACAGGAGAGAGTTTGGTTTAAAACAGCTGCAAGAAAGAGTCAGGCCTTTCAAGTGTGCTTCAAATGCTGCAGAGAGCTCTTCTATCTCTCACAGTGAATTTTGTACTTAATGATAAAATGAAAAAAACTAATTAGGGTCCTTTGTGCATTGTAGACAAGCCTGTCTTTAATCACCATTTTACTTAAAACCAGCATTAAGCAGAATGCTATCTCATTAACTAGCCCTGAAATTGTGGCTCCTATTAAAAGCAGTATCATGCATTTCCTGTGGGGAAACCACTGGGTGTTTTTTTTCTGAATGCTACAAAACCTTATTATCAAGGACTATAAAGAGAAAATTTCTTATCTTGATAACTCTGCACTGAAAAATTTCCATTGAAATCTAACACTGCATACTTGTACAGCTTTGGGTGGGGTTTTCTGTGCTTCACGTTTTGAGATAGCAGAATAGTCCCTGTGTACTTAGCAGAGAGAAAATAGAACAGATGCCACTTCATTCAAAGCCTGCAGAGATAAAATGTGGCTTTTCCCTTGACTTCACTAGATTTTATTTTCTGTTCAGATAGACACTGTATCCTGAGAGAGCTGTAATCTCTAGTGATTTTTCTTTCAATAGCCAAAAGAAGAATGAATTTCCTATTAAAGTGCTATCATCCATTCACCTGGTTTTAGGAGTTTTTTTAGTTCCCTCTTGACACACTTATACTAGAGTGTGGGCAGATACTTTCCCTTGGGCAGCCGAAGGCCTGACCCTGCAACTATTTCTTCCTCATGAAGCCAGCAGGCTCCACTCTGCGCTTGGTAGCAAGCTTACAACTCTACCAACTTTGACCAAAGCGCAAGAAGAATTTGTGAGCAAGATAGCAACTCTAAAATACTGAGCTTGTTCTTTTAAAAGTTCCTTGGGACTACCACAAGCATGTCCATGTGGCTCTACTGGATCCAGTGTAGAAAACTCAAGCTGTACGTGTGGCCTGAAGCCTCGTGGAGAATCACCCCGAACAGTCCAAGTCCCTTGCTATGGCCTGAGCTGGGAAACTGACTGCTCACGTGTCCTCATTGCTGAGGTGATGGAGCTGACTCCTGCCCTGCAGTGTGTCCTTAACCAGCTTAGCCTTCATGGTGGACTTTCTCATCATGGCTAAGAGAATGTCAGAAGCTTGTCCTATGTGTTCCAATGTGTTAAACTTGTTCTACCTTGACTGAAGTCTTCCCAGCCGTAATTCTGTATGAAAATAGCCCTTACTTTGTGCAAAACAGCTCCTGTGCTGTACTGAGTGACTGGTATTGCAGGTAATGAGTTCTTGTAACTCAGGATGCCATCTCTGCATTTGAATACTGTCTCTTCCACCACTTTTTGGAGCCAGTAATATCACAGCATGGTTCATGTTGGCCTGCCCTTCTGGGCACAAGAAAAACTCTGAGCTCTTTAAAATCTGATGGAGACCTGGTCTAGGCTGTCTTGTTGAGGGCTCTTGTTAGAAGTCAGACTCTGGTGTGTATCTGAATGCTCTCACCTCACTTTGCCGTGACATTGCAGGTGAAAGCAGTTGAGCTACATTTCTCTGAAATCTCCTTTGAAATACTTCCTGAATTTTATCCAGAGGGACATTATTTCCCTCATGACACAGTTGCCAGGGGGCAGTAGGAGAACCACTGAAGTGGAAGTAAAGTGCAGGTCATGCACATGTCAGACAAGTCAGAAACAGTGACAAGGAAATGAAAAAAATGTATGAACCTGCCTCAACTTAACCTGTGATTGCAGATATTTACCAGTAAACCAAGGTATCTCTGCAGTGCAGCTTAATGACTGCTTAGATCTAATTAATGTGTATGTAGGTTGAGAGAAAAATTTGAAATAAAAACTGTGAAGCTAAGCTAAGCCTCAAAAAGTGGTCAGTGATGCATTGGAGTAATGAATTTGAAGTGAATCACCTAACTACTGAACCTTTCAGCTTAAAAGTGTTGCAGTTGCATCTCTATTTAAAGAAGTTTCTGGTAAGCAGATCAAAGTGCTCATCTTGCCACATTTGTGGCTGTTAAAACATTGTTTTCTTACTACTTCCTGTTGAGCAGCACATTTGGGCAGCACAGCAAAGCGTGTACTGCTTCTCTTGTAGTTTAAACTATCAGACGCTCGTTAGCATTTACAGAAAATAAGAACACAGGTGCATGGAAAATGGTCGTCCCACAAAATGTTGAAAGGCTATGAAGTGACTGTCCTACATTGGCCTGTGCATTTTGGCGTTTCTCAGAGGCCAAAGTAAGTACTGTTCCATGAGTTTTCTTTGAGCATGAGCGACTTGGACTAAAGTGTCCATGTGAAGGAGGCAGGGCATAGGCAGAACTT